GTCGGGGCTTTCCTATGCCGTGGTGCCGGGTTGTGGATCGTTGCGTTCACCCTCGCTCATCGTCTTGCGATGATTGGCGCCTGATCGCCGACGGCGGTCCGGTTGGCGGTTGTTTGCAGGGTGTGGAGGCGGAGGTGCCCGTCACCGACTCTCAGCTTCGGCACCATCGTCCCGAAGGTTACGGGGAGAGCTGTTGCGGCTCTATTGTGGTGTCGTCTTCGTGTCCCCACTCACAACGGCGCGTTCCGTTTGTGTTGAGGGGGTGTCACGACTTGGTGAGGACGCTCTGCGCTCTTCGCCATCCGAGCGGCGCCATTTAGCGTTGGCGCAGGTGGCCTCGGCCATGCACGCGCTGCTTACCGTATGCGAGGGCGGAGACTTGTGGGATGCGTGATGCACCCTCCGACGGCGTTGCGAGGCTGGGCCCGTCATCCGCCCGACTTTTTGGAATGCGCGCTTGTGCCCGTCGTGTCCCCCATCCTGTGGTCTCRGTATGCTGCACACCGTGACGGATCACGTTGCGTCGTGGTTCCGCTGCGTTTGGGTTGTGGGCTTCGAAGGCTACTGTCCTCTGTCTCCTGGGTTTCGCCTGCGTCGAGTGCTTTTGGTTTGCCCGCGGCAACCGGCGGATGTGGAACCAGGGGGGAGACGGGTAGAGATCCTTTTGCGCCCTTGTGCACAGGTGGAGGCTTTCCGTCTGTCCGGGCGTGTTGGAAGCGTGGTGCATTCGTTTCTCTCTTCACCCGCGTTTCTCGATGGAGAGATGAGGCTGTGCACTTCTGTTGTCGGTACGTTTTGGGCGGGCAGTGGCATCCGACTATGGGCCGAAGCTGTCGGTGGTTCCTTCGCGCGCACTGTTGTTCGGGTAGTGTGGTTAATTTGCGATCTCTGGGTGTGGTGTGGGCGTGTGCTGTCCGCAGCCAATCTCTTGGGCAAATGCGGCGGGCTGTGTTGGATTGTGCGGTACCTTGCCGTTGGAGATGGCCTACGGAGGGAAGCTCACCTGCAATTCAAACAGCCAGACTTTGCGGCGTCTCGACAGCTCATTGCACATTCCACGATTGTTTGACATTCTTTTGGTAGGCTGTCCGGTGTGACGTGCCTACGTGCGCCTCGGCCATCGCTCCTTGTCTCAAAGACTAAGCCATGCACGTCTGAGTGTGAACACTTTGCACTGTGAAACTGCGAATGGCTCATTAAATCAGTTATCATTTATTTGGTGGTCTCCTTASCACTCGGATAACCGTGGTAATTCTAGACCTAATACGTGCAGCATATCCCGACTTCTGGAAGGGATGTATTCATTGGATAAAAGGCCGATCAGGGCTTGCCCGTTGTTGCAGCGAATCATGGTGACTTGTGGAATCGCATGGCCTTTGAGCCGACGATGTTCCATTCAAATTCTGCCCTATGAATTTTCGATGGTAGGATAGAGGCCTACCATGGTGGTAACGGGTGATGGAGAATTAGGGTTCGATTGCGGAGAGGGAGCCTGAGAGATGSCTACCACATCCAAGGAAGGCAGAAGGAGCATAAATTACCCAATCCTGACATAGGGAGGTAATGACAATGAATAACAATACTGGGCTCTTTTGAGTCCGGTAATTGGAATGAGAATAGCCGTAAACTCCTTAAATGAGGATCCATTGGAGGGCAAGTCTGGTGCCAGCVGCCGCGGTAATTCCAGCTCCAACAGCATATATTTAAGTTGTTGCAGTTCAAAAGCTCGTAGTTGGATTTTGGGTGGGAGGGGTTGGTCCGCTCTTGCGGGYGTGTACCGGCCCTTTCGCCTTTCTTGCCGGGTATGCGTTCCTTGCCTTTATTGGCTGGGATCCAGAGCCGGCGCTGTTACTTTAAAAGAATTAGAGTGTTCAAAGCAGGCCTGTGCTCTGAACATATTAGCATGGAATAACGCGATAGGACTCTGGTCCTATTTCGTTGGTCTTCGRGATTGGAGTAATGATTAATAGAGACGGTTGGGGGCATTGGAATTCCATTGTCACARGTGAAATTCCTGGATTTRTGGATGATGAACTTCTGCGAAAGCATTTGCCAAGRACKTTCTCATTAATCAAGAATGAAAGTTGGGGGATCGAAGACGATCARATACCGTCCTAGTCTCAACCATAAAYGATGYCGACTAGGGATTGGCGGATGTCTATTGGATGACTCTGCCAGCACCTTGTGAGAAATCAAAGTTTACGGGTTTCGGGGGGAGTATGGTCGCAAGGCTGAACCCCGGTGCCCTGCCTCGCCCCCCGAACGAGGGGTCGGGCGGGCCCGTGGCAGCGGCTGGTGGCGACGGCTTTGCAACTTCTTATTGATGTACCTGCTCTGATTTGTCGCTGTCTGGGTTGACAGCCCCCTTCTGTTCTGGTCGAGGGGTCGGTACTGTCGGAACGGCACCATATTGTAGAACTCTCGGCAAACGAATATTTTGGCCCTCGCAGCAATGAAGAGTGCAGCGAAATGCGGTACTGAATGTGAATTGCAGAAATCCGTGAGCCATCGATACCTTGAACGCTCGTGGCGCCCGAGGCTTCTGCCGAGGGCACGCCCGCCTGAGCATCATTGGATTCCTCCGTTTCGGAGAGTGGTGGGGTCCGTGGTCGTGGCTTCCCTCACTTCCCACTTGGAGAGCGTGGATAGCCTAAAGTGGAAGAGAATTGGAGAGCATTCCGAGCGGGCCTGTGGGGGCCGGAGCCTAGAACGGTGCGTTTCAGGGTGGTGGTCTTTCTTCCCTGAAAACGGCACGTAAGGTCGTCCCTCCGGTTTGTGCCCTGTTGTTGCCCTCCGCCCTGTTGTTGCCCTCCAGCACCCGTTTGTGGGTGGTGGTCTTCGTTTCCCTGAAAACGGTACGTAAGGTCGTCCCTCCAGTTTGTGTGGTCGCCGCCTTCCGTTCGCTCCCATCAGCTTGCGGTGGGCTTGCGGTTGGGGGTGTCGGCCTCGAGCTGTGGAGGTACGTCGGGCCTTGCCTTTTGATCTCAGGTCGGGCGGGAGCACCCGCCCAATTTA